TTTCAAGAACGCTTAAAAAATTTCCTATGGTCGAAGTACGGGGATACACTGGTGGACAAAATATGTGCATAGTCGGTATGTTCTGAGTGCGGTAAATTGATCAAGTTCTACTTGTGTCATTTTACAAATATTTATGATATGTAAATAATTTACTTGAATCCAGATAACTGAAATCAATAATACGAGTACAGGAAAAAAAACAGCACTAAATTGTTTATTTATTACCTACCCAGTGCATAATAGTTAGCCACTACTAACCCAACTGTATATATATATACACGTGTGTGTGTGTGTGTGTGTGTGTGTGTGTGTTTATATATATATATATATATATATATATATATATATATATATATATATATATATATATATATATATGTATATATATATATATATATATATATATATATATATATATATATATATATATATATATATATATATATATATATATATATAGACACAGGCACACATATATGTGTGTGTATATATATATGTATATATATATACATATATATATATATATATATATATATATATATATATATATATATATATATATTCATATATATATATATATATATATATATATATATATATATATATATATATATATATATAATGTAAAACTAGTCAGTTCCCTTTTAAAAGAGCACTCCTCCTTCTCCTCTTCCTCCTCCTCCTCCTCTTCATCTTCCTCCTCCTCCTCCTCTTCATCTTCATCTTCCTCCTCCTCCTCCTATTCATCTTCCTCTTTCTCCTCCTCCTCCTCTTCCTCCTCCTCTTCATCTTCCTCTTCCTTCTCCTCCTCCTCCTCCTCCTCCATGTCCTACTCCTTCTTATTAATGTTCTTACCTTTTCCACCTGACCTAGTTAACCAACAATTTTTCGGGGATTACCAAGAAAGGACAAACTAAATGGCAACAAAATTATGCCAAGAAATAACATCGCCGCTTAAATATTAATACTGGATTAATGTTACGGAAATGAAGTATAAAAAAAATACATGGCACATTATGGATACTGGAAAATCTGGCGAAAACAGTAAGTTAAGCCTATCAAAGTGAATGGTATTAGAATGAATGTTAATGTTTAGCTAAATGGAATTTCAGATCTTGAAGTTAGATACATTGTTAACATAAAAGATCTTATTAATCTAAAGAGACCAGACTTTAATTTAAAATAATGCTCCTTTGATATGAACAGGATTTTCAAAGATTTGATTTTGATTCCTTTAAATATTCTGTTACTTAGAAATAATGCTACTTTGACGGAAGCGTTAGATATTAGAAATAATGTAATGATGAAGTGCGGTGGGTTTTCCAAAAGCAGTTGTTATTATTTATATTATGAATCTTTACTCAATTCTGATTGATTTTGGATTTATGCTTTATTAAATATACTGTACGTTAAATGTATTTTTGTACTTCGCATTTAGTAAAAAAAAAAAATCATGTGGAAATATCACAGGTTTAATTATAAATATTCAGAACTGAAAGTAACGAAATATGTTTTAGTGAAATATAAAAAAAAAACTAAAGATCCTATTTACTGTGATTTAAACTGACTTATTATTTAATAAACTTATTAAATATTGTCAAGCCTGGCTGAAATGCATCGTAATATTTCGACAAAATGATTTTTACATTAAATGCACTATTGCCGCTAAACATCTTGCGCCCGTAGCCAGCAGCCACACATTCAAGAATATAATCTGCGCCTGAGCTCCTCCGGTTTAACACCAGTGTACTCGCGTCGGAAAAATGCTTTCGTGGAATTCCTCCGACGTCATTCTAATTTTTTCCCCCTTATCGTTTTCCTTGTGTTTGTATTATCATAAAGAACCATTGCAAATATAGAAAAGAAATCGATTGATAAGAATTCTATAGACGAGGAAATGCAAGCCTTTAGGGGAGATATTTGTCATGGGCATAAATATGTCACTTTTCCACGTTTCTTTCGTAAAAACAATGTGACTGACATTGAAGGTGACAGTCTACTTTCGTCATGGATTCCTTACGTTCTGTTGGTTAAGTATTTTCCCTCTTTTTTATCTGCTCTATGAATGCACTTGGTAATAAAAGTTATATAGATAGCACTTTTTTTCATCTTTCACCGTTATTCCCCTTTTATCTTTCGTTCTTATAGACGTTTTTTGCCTTTTGAATCGCGCACTGACGTCATTACTTCCTCCAGAAGTGTCTCGTCGAAAGGAATGACGTTGCTTGCGTGTCTTTGTTGTTTTGTTTTTGTTTTGAATTCTGTTTTTCTTGTTATTTACGTAATCTGTTTTGTCAGTACCAACTTTATTTGTATTATTGCTTCTGTACTGAATCATTATATTATTGTTGTGATAGCTGTTGTCATCATCAATATTGTTTTATCACCAACAACAGCAATTTAAAACAAATACAATAATAGTAATGATAATGATAAGAATATTAATATTGATAGTGGTGGTAGTAGTGGTAATAGTAATAGCAGTAGTAATAGAGATGCTAATAATAAAATCATATTGATAATAACAGTTATGATAACGAGTACGAGTGCAAGCAGTAGTAGTAGTAGTAGTACGAGTGCGAGTAGTATTACAAGTGCGAGTAGTAGTAAAAGTAATAGTACAAGTGTGAGTAGTAGTAAGAGTAGTAGTATGAGTGCGAGTAGTAGTACGAGTGCGAGTAGTAGTAAAAGTAATAGTACGAGTGTGAGTAGTAGTAAGAGTAGTAGTATGAGTGCGAGTAGTAGTACGAGTGCGAGTAGTAGTAAAAGTAATAGTACGAGTGTGAGTAATAGTAAGAGTAGTAGTATGAGTGCGAGTAGTAGTAATAATAGTAGTAGTGTAAAGAGTTATAGATTTGATTGAACCTCTAAACATTGGTGACAGGGAGTAGCAAAAGCTTGGTGGCTTAAATTCCTTTATTGATAAGAGTTCAGCACACGAGTGCGAGTAGTAGTACAAGTAGTAGTATGAATGCGAGTAGTAGTACAAGTAGTAGTATGAATGCGAGTAGTAGTACAAGTAGTAGTATGAATGCGAGCAGTAGTACAAGTAGTAGTATGAATGCGAGTAGTTGTACAAGTAGTAGTATGAATGCGAGTAGTTGTACAAGTAGTAGTATGAATGCGAGTAGTTGTACAAGTAGTAGTATGAATGCGAGTAGTTGTACAAGTAGTAGTATGAATGCGAGTAGTTGTACAAGTAGTAGTACGAGTGCGAGTAGTAGTACAAGTAGTAGTATGAATGCGAGTAGTTGTACAAGTAGTAGTATGAATGCGAGTAGTTGTACAAGTAGTAGTGTGAGTGCGAGTAGTAGAATGATTGTGAGTAGTAGTACGAGTGTGAGTCATAGTACAAGTAGTAGTACGAGTGTGAGTAGTAGTACGAGTGCGAGTAGTAGTACAAGTAGTAGTACGAGTGCGAGTAGTAGTACGAGTGCGAACAGTAGTACGAGTGCGAGTAGTAGTACAAATAGTAGTACGAGTGCGAGTAGTAGTACGAGTGCGAGTAGTAGTACAAGTAGTAGTACGAGTGCGAGTAGTAGTACAAGTAGTAGTACGAGTGCGAGTTGTAGTACGAGTGCGAGTAGTAGTACGAGTGCGAGCAGTAGTACGAGTGCGAGTAGTAGTACGAGTGCGAGTAGTAGTACAAGTAGTAGCATGAGTGCGAGTAGTAGTACGAGTGTGAGTAGTAGTAAGAGTGTGAGTCGTAGTAAAAGTAGCAGTACGAGTGTGAGTCATAGTACAAGTAGTAGTACGAGTGCAAGTCATAGTAAAAGTAGCAGTACGAGTGCGAGTCGTAGTACAAGTAGTAGTACAAGTGTGAGTAGTAGTACGAGTGCGAGTAGTAGTACGAGTGCGAGTAGTAGTACTAGTGCGAGTAGTAGTACGAGTGCGAGTAGTAGTACGAGTGCGAGTAGTAGTACGAGTGCGAGTAGTATTACGAGTGCGAGTAGTAGTACGAGTGCGAGTAGTAGTACGAGTGCGAGTAGTAGTACGAGTGCGAGTAGTAGTACGAGTGCGAGTAGTAGTACGAGTGCGAGTAGTAGTACGAGTGCGAGTAGTAGTACGAGTGCGAGTAGTAGTACGAGTGCGAGTAGTAGTACGAGTGCGAGTAGTAGTACTAGTGCGAGTAGTAGTACGAGTGCGAGTAGTAGTACGAGTGCGAGTAGTAGTACGAGTGCGAGTAATTGTACGAGTGCGAGTAGTAGTACGAGTGCGAGTCGTAGTAAAAGTAGCAGTACGAGTGTGAGTAGTAGTCCGAGTGTGAGTAGTAGTACAAGTAGTAGTACGAGTGTGAGTAGTAGTACGAGTGCGAGTAGTAATACAAGTAGTAGTACGAGTGCGAGTAGTCGTACGAGTGTGAGTAGTAGTACGATGCGAGTAGTAGAAAGAGTGCGAGTAGTAGTACGAGTGCGAGTAATTGTACGAGTGCGAGTAGTAGTACGAGTTCGAGTCGTAGTAAAAGTAGCAGTACGAGTGTGAGTAGTAGTACAAGTAGTAGTACGAGTGTGAGTAGTAGTACAAGTAGTAGTACGAGTGTGAGTAGTAGTACGAGTGCGAGTAGTAATACAAGTTGTAATACGAGTGCGAGTAGTCGTACGAGTACGAGTAATTGTATGAGTGGGAGTAGTAGTACGAGTACGAGTAGCTGTATGAGTGCAAGTAGAAGTACGAGTGCGAGTAGTTGTACAAGTAGTAGTACGAGTGCGAGTAGTAGTACAAGTAGAAGTACGAGTGCGAGTAGTAGTACAAGTAGTAGTACGAGTGCGAGTAGTAGTACAAGTAGAAGTACGAGTGCGAGTAGTAGTACAAGTAGTAGTACGAGTGCGAGTAGTAGTACAAGTAGTAGTACGAGTGCGAGTAGTAATACAAGTAGTAGTACGAGTGTGAGTAGTAGTACAAGTAGTAGTACGAGTGCGAGTAGTAGTACAAGTAGTAGTACGAGTGCGAGTAGTAGTACAAGTAGAAGTACGAGTGCGAGTAGTAGTACAAGTAGTAGTATGAATGCGAGTAGTTGTACAAGTAGTAGTACGAGTGCGAGTTGTAGTAAGAGTTGTTGTACGAGTGTGAGTAGTAGTACGAGTTCGAGTAGTTGTACAAATAGTAGTACGAGTGTGAGTAGTAGTACAAGTAGTAGTGCAAGTGCGAGTAGTTGTACAAATAGTAGTACGAGTGTGAGTAGAAGTACAAGTAGTAGTACGAGTGCGAGTAGTAGTACAAGTAGTAGTACGAGTGCGAGTAGTAGTACAAGTAGTAGTACGAGTGCGAGTAGTAATACAAGTAGTAGTACGAGTGTGAGTAGTAGTACAAGTAGTAGTACGAGTGCGAGTAGTAGTACAAGTAGAAGTACGAGTGCGAGTAGTAGTACAAGTAGAAGTACGAGTGCGAGTAGTAGTACAAGTAGTAGTATGAGTACGAGTAGTTGTACAAGTAGTAGTACAAGTGCGAGTTGTAGTAAGAGTTGTTGTACGAGTGTGAGTAGTAGTACGAGTTCGAGTAGTTGTACAAATAGTAGTACGAGTGTGAGTAGTAGTACAAGTAGTAGTGCAAGTGCGAGTAGTTGTACAAATAGTAGTACGAGTGTGAGTAGAAGTACAAGTAGTAGTACGAGTGCGAGTAGTAGTACAAGTAGTAGTACGAGTGCGAGTAGTAGTACAAGTAGTAGTACGAGTGCGAGTAGTAATACAAGTAGTAGTACGAGTGTGAGTAGTAGTACAAGTAGTAGTGCAAGTGCGAGTAGTTGTACAAATAGTAGTACGAGTGTGAGTAGAAGTACAAGTAGTAGTACGAGTGCGAGTAGTAGTACAAGTAGTAGTACGAGTGCGAGTAGTAGTACAAGTAGTAGTACGAGTGCGAGTAGTAGTACAAGTAGTAGTACGAGTGCGAGTAGTTGTACAAGTAGTAGTACGAGTGCGAGTTGTAGTAAGAGTAGTTGTACGAGTGTGAGTAGTAGTACGAGTGCGAGTCGTAGTACGAGTGCGAGTCGTAGTACGAGTGCGAGTCGTAGTACGAGTGCGAGTCGTAGTACGAGTGTGAGTCGTAGTACGAGTGCGAGTCGTAGTACGAGTGTGAGTCGTAGTACGAGTGCTAGTAGTAGTAAGAGTACTTGTACGAGTGTGAGTATACATATATATATATATATATATATATATATATGTCAATACTAGAGAGAGAGAGAGAGAGAGAGAGAGAGAGAGAGAGAGAGAGAGAGAGAGAGAAGAAAGAGAGAGAGGCGGGAGAGAGAGGAGAGAGAGGCGAGAGAGAGAGGAGAGAGAGGCGAGAGAGAGAGAGAGAGAGAGAGAGAGAGAGAGAGAGAGAGAGAGAGAGAGAGAGAGAGAGAGAGAGAGAGAGAGAGAGAGAGAGAGAGACAGAGGCGAGAGAGAGAGAGAGAGAGAGAGAGAGAGAGAGAGAGAGAGAGAGAGAGAGAGAGAGAGAGAGAGAGAGAGAGAGAGAGAGAGGGAGAGAGAGAGAGAGAGAGAAAGACAGAGAAAGCGAGAACTTCCGTTTCGTTGGACAGTGTATCTAACTCGTATCCATGGTCACCTGTTTTTATGTACTAAGTTTAGATCCAGGTATAAAATAACGCAACTCTGGCGACGGAGGAGCCCGCATTCCATATCCCTTTCATATTGTGATTCTGATTGAGCTTCATCCGCGAGTTCCGCTTGCATGTTACGCCTGAAATCAGACTCCTTGTGAATATAGCATATAAATCAAATTTTGGTGTAAAATGCGGTGATAATTGACACCATAGTTATTAAAGAATGATATATACACACATCATATTACGAATCTATCAGAACCGTATTCTACCTCTATTATCATCCTTAACATTTTCATTATTATTGTCATAATTGTTCTTAATGTTACTATTGTCATTACCATTATAACCATTATCATTTTCTTCTTCGAAGTAGTTAGACCGTCAATTTATGCACATTTATCAATAACACAATCATCCGAGGGAAAGTTAAGATGGAAGGTAAGAGGAGAAGGGGAAAGGAAGGGGGGAAAAGGGGAGGGGAAATTGACTTGACAAGAAAGGAGATATGGGTGAAATATGAGGTGAAACGGAGGAATACAGCGTTCTCTGTAGGGATGGGCGATACTCGAATTCTTTTTATAATCGATTACTTCTCTTACTTTTGCGAACAGTAGTCGATTATTAATCGATCACTTTTGCCTGGGAATACATTATGGTGGGTACATATGCAGGGTATAAAATACATCAATGGTTCTAGTGTAGTCTCTTTCTCTCTCTCTTTATCTGACCCTCGCACCGAAAAGGTTGTCGACCCCTGCCCTAAGGAGATAATGTTTCCCTCTTAAGGTCAGGGTTCACGAGCGCTCTCTGTAGCAATAGAGATCTCCTTCAAGGTCAAAGGTTACTCAGGTCAGCGTCAGGGTTCAGGAGCGTTCTCTGTGGTCACTAAGATCCCTCAAGGTCAAAGGTTACTCAGGTCAGGGTTCACGATACCTGAATAATCTTTGGTCTTGAGAGGGATCTTTATGATCACAGAGAATGCTCATGAACCCTGATCTGAGTAATCTCTGACCTTGAGTGGGATTTCTGTGTTGTGTGTTGCAGCGGTAGCGATCTCATCTAGCAATCTTGGTGACCTGCATTCAGATCCCTGGTCGCCAGTGGATAGTAACTCCGGCCATTCCTTGCTGACAGCTTGTCAAGAATATCCATTGTAACAAATGTAATAAAATAGAACAAAAATTTATGAATACAGATAACGCTCGTAAATGAGCCCAGACCAGAGTAACCTTTGACCTTAAGGAAGATCTCTCTGAGAACATTGTGAAACCTGTCCTGAGAAACCATAAAGAACGCTCGTGAATTCTTACCTGAGTAACCTTGAGAGGGTTTCTATGACCACAGAGAAAGCTCGTGACCCTAACCTGAGCAATTTTTGACTTTGAGGGAAATCTTTATAACCACAGAGAACGCTCGTGAAGGAGCGTTATTTTCGCAGACAATAATATTGAATCCAAATGGAAGAGATCATTTACATTCAGAAGAGGACCTTTTCTCCGTAGTGAACTACAGAGGCATTATCTTCGTTATCACAAATCACTCCTAGACAGATAAACACAAGGAAAAGCAGCGAGAGGAGAGAAGCACTTGTCCCGAACTACAAACTCGGTGAAGTCGATACGTCAGCGCCACAACTTTTGAGCGGGAAAAAGTGTTAGTCGATATCTGATATCTTACTTCAGTCAAACTTAAACTCTGGATCAGTGCGTCTCAACTTTTTTTTTTTAGCCATATTAAAAGTCTGACAGTTTCGAATTCCTTTTCCGCAGAATTCAACTCATTTCTTTTAATTATTACTAGATACAATTTGCTATAGAGAGTTTTGATATAAAGCATCTGCAAATGTAGTTATAAATTTTACCTCCTTTGGCTGGCCCTCTGATGCTGCCCTAATTGCGTTCAGGGCAGCGAGTCTTGGATACTGTAGCTCCAAATTAGCGCTAATTTAGAAATAATTATAGGAATAACGATCATGATATTAGTTATTATTATGTGTGATAATAATGATGCTGTTAATAATGATGATAATTATGCTGATAACAGTGATGATATTTATGTTGATAATAATGATGATGATTATGCTGATAATAATGATGATAATAATAACAATTATGATTTATAATGATAATGATACTAGTACTAATACTACTAATGATAATAGGCCTATTGCTCATGGCGATGACGATGATGGTGATAATGATGATGATGATGATGATGATAATGATAATAACGATAATAATGATAGTAACAAAAACAATTGTAGTGTACGGCTGCGCACTCGCCGACTCTAAGGCCGATCTCGCCAGGACTGACATCGTCCTCGGGCGTCGAGTGGTTGAAGCGGGGTCTTTACAATGCCCCATGCCTGCCTCCTCTATCATGGAACAAAGGACGTGGGGAACTCTGCGATGATGCCATTGACTCGGAGGAAACGTCGCGGGCTGCGCTTCCACCAACGATGAGGGCGCACTCGCTGCGCACCCGCACGAGGCTGGTGCTTCACCCGCACTACATAGGCCATGGCCAGTGCCATACGAGCCGCCAGAGACAGAGTTACGAAATGATATGAACATGGTTATAAAAAGAACCAAATAACGTATTTTAAACCAAGTCTCGTTACTTGGATGGCGTTGAAGTCTCCGAGAAAAATAAATATTTATTTATTTTCTAAGTTCTATACCGTGAATAGTTACAGCCCGAAATGCACAGTTTTCACGTAAATTATACATTGTCAGTTTTCCTAGGTATCCTTTCCTTTATTTATTTTTTTTCGAATATTCTATCTCCTCGGCGACGCTTCCAAAGTGTCAATATAACCCCTGAAGAGAGTAATGGTCGTTACATATTTTGGTTGTTTGTTTTCTTCTCTCCCTTTCTTTTCAAGGTTTGGCTTGTTTGGACTACCGAACTATCGGGCTGGTCTTCCGCCGCTTACTTGGCGTATCTTCTTTTCGCGCCATGCTTAGGGCATGGCCTGGGGGGTTTTCGGGTATAAATACCCAGGGTTTTGCGAGGGGAAAAGAGTTCGGTCCTGACTTCTATAATGAATAGTGGTTCCGCTCTCGGTATTTGTGCTTGCTTTGGATTTACTTCGTTTTGGATTTACCTCGCTTTGGATTTACCTCGCTTCGCGCCAGGATTGAGGAATCCATGTTTTCGCAAATTATTTCTTATTGGTTGTGTGTAGGAGACACCTGGTCTCTGTTGGACTTTGGCGTGTGACATGCTGCATTATTATCTGCAGGGTGCACTCTCTCAAGAAATCCCAAAGCAGCACTTTGTAAAATAAAAGGAACCACTTCACAGAAAGGACACTGCTTGAGGATCCGTACCTTATTACTTAGTTTTTCTTTTTATTTGTTTTGTGTTTTCGTTTGTTTTTGTTTTTCCCTAGCTTGAGGATCCGTTCCTCCTGAGAAAAAGACGTTCCACAATCTCGCCCATATTTGCAGGGCCATTTCAGCTTGCCTTCGCCATTTTTACTTTGTCTTGGTCGATTCCTACCTGACCTTGAGGGTGCTCAGGCAGTATTCGTGATCTATGCCCTTTTGGTGTTCTGTTTTATCTCTTTTACTTGGCTTCCGACGATAAATTGTTTCGTACACCACGTTTTTCTTTCGTCATTTATACAAGTATTTTTATTCAGAGTTCCTCAGCACTATATATATATATATATATATATATATATATATATATATATATATATATATATATATATATATATATATATATATATATATATATATATATATATGTATATATATATATATATATATATATATATATATATATATATATATATATATATATATTACTTCTTTTTTTTTTTTTTTTTTTTTTTTTAATCTTCATTCTGGGTTGGAGATTACCTTATTTAAATTAGGGTTTGGTGTATTGTTTGTGCTAATACTCTGCTTAAAAATGCTTATGGAGTTGGGACGCCAACTTAGGGGAAAATATTTGTGAGTTATTTTTTTTAGTACATCTTTTAGTACATGTTTTCCTCGTGCATCACGCCCGCTGTGATCAAATTGGTGATGTACACATCTATCAAAATTTCTTGTGACTGAATTGTTTGTAGACCTCCCTAGTGAGTGCAACTTGCTCAATAAATATCATACCATCATAGAGCTTTCACTCTCTCCTAGTCAGAAGAATAAATGACATCTGTGATCCCTTAAGTTCTGGTTCTGACTTAAGCTGAATGCTTGGAACGTTCTTGGGCTCGGGTATCCTAAACAGCACGCTGCTGGTTACTCTTATCTCGCAACCCTGAAAGGCTGTAAAAAGGCTATATGAATCAGAGTATATTAAGCTGATATTCTAGAATAGATAATAACTTTTGCTACACCTGGGTTCCCACTTCCAGCAGGTGGATGCTCAAACCGAAGGGAAGAGGAAGAATTCTATGATCTTGCATTTTTCTTCCATACACGTCCACACAGACGCTCAGCCTACGCTATCTCCCTTTTCACATTTACACACTTACACATCCAACATTCAGCACACACATTCTGTATTTTCCTTCCACCCTTCTCTTACACAACAGTCACACTCCCATACACAACACACACGGTTCCCTAACCTACTAGTCGGGTGGTGGCAGCGTGCCGTAGGCCTGGAACCTTACATCTGTTCACTGCAGACGAATCTTTCCTGATTTTTAAAAATATTCTCGGTTGAGCCCGAACTCAATCAGACATAATAAAATCTAATTGGTCTACGCCTCGCTACAGCAATAATGACTACTACTATTAATACAGCTACTACTAATAATGATAATGATAATAACTATGATGATGAAAATTAAAATGATAGTGATGATGTTGATGGCGATCGTGATAATAGTAATAATAATTATAATAATAATAATAAAAAGTGTAATAATATGAAGGATAATAGAAATAAGAAATGTGATAATAGTAATAATAATAAACGAATGACGGAATAAAATCAGTATCAATTGTGTCGACTGTCACCACGTAACCTCCATCGGTACTTAGATAATTCTATTGTACTTAACATAACGTGCTAATCTGTTTAACACAATGCCTACATACCCCTTAACACACGCTTATCTCACACCCAGCTTCGGCATCATCCAATAACCCTAATTTGGGTTCGGGTTATCTCAGCATCTGATTAGGTCAGATTAGACAGGACGCTCAAACTATAAATAGAGACCAAAGCTATATTTGCCTCGGAGCGAAGCCCCTGTGAACGCGGAAAGCTGTAAATAGTTGCCAGTGTTGGCGAAGACTGTAAGGTTTCGTTCCCACGTCAGCATCGTACCACGGACGCTCTGTATGACGTCATAACGGAATGAATGAGCGAAGGACGAAGCGGGAGGATCATCTCGCTCGCGTATTCTTGTGCTCGGGCGGTGTCGCGTCAGATTTTTTTCGCTTTCTTGTAGCATGAGTTTTAGGTTTATATGTTAATCAGAGGGAGATGGGAAGTTTGATAGTTTGATAAATATATAGTTATATAGATTGATAGAGAGAGAGGGGGGGGGAGAGATGGATAGATAGAGATAGACAGATAGTCAGATAAATAGATAAATAGATAGAGAAAGAAAGAGAAAGGGATAGATAGATAGATATAGAGATATAGAGATAGAGAGAGGGAGAGAAATGAGAGGACAGAAAGAGGTGTATAAATAGAAACACCCAGTGTCTAGAACAAGCAAAATCGTCAGGAAGCCTTACATTCTACCTGATTCATCAGCGGTGAAGTGAAGGGTCACTGTACTTTTTTTTACGTCGAATAGGTCTTCTCTTCTCAAAGGACGTGTGTCTAGAACAAAACTCCACTTGCAGTTCCTCAAATAGTTCGTAGACCTTGTTGCGTGCTAAAAAGATGATGGTAGAAATGATTATTCTAATAGTAATGTGACCATAATAGGCGTACTACCCCCTACGATCCGGTTGACGTCACAATC